AAAAAAAAAAAATACAGAAAATAAATATATGCAAGACGGCAGCCTTCTCAGGGAATCTGGTCTATCTAATTTGATGTAACAAATTTCCTCGAAAAATATTTGACCTAGTGTATGAAAGTTTAATTTCGACGCAAGAGTAAGTAGCTGTATTTTTTCCCTTAACTTTAACATCATGCATGAAACACATATTCTAGTCTGAATTTTCGGGTTCTAAGTTCTAGCATACATACATACATACATATACTTTATTTAACCTCGAATTTAGAAGAAGCAAAAAGCAAGAAGCAAGTTTCGCTTGTTTGTGATATCTTCAATGTGCAGTTAGGTAATTCTTCGCCAATTTTTTTCTTAACTTCTTAGCGTCTAGTTAAAATGAAATAAAAGTTCCAAAATAGAATTCCCTTTCATTCTTTATGGTATAGCCGACGACGCACGAAAATTGCGCAAAGAAACAATAGCAAAGATATCAGTGACGTCACCTATCGTTATTAATATGCCAGCCAGAGAACTATTGGTCGGTGAAACAAAGAGTTCTTTTGTTTAACGTTTTGAACATTTAAATGACAAAAACAATGTTTGTAAACAAATAACTTCCCAAAAGAGAGTTTTCGCATGACGTCACGGCAGCCATATTGGTGTTCCAAAACAGTGAAACGGCGGCCATGTTCGGTGTACCAAACCAATCCTTTGGGAGTTCAACTCTTTTCTTATGTAAACAGTTTCTTTTGTTCGAATAAATTTGCATGGCTGCTGGTCACGTGACTGAAAATGCTCTATACGATTTGCATGTAAGCAGATGTAAGATAAAAGTAAAAATATCCTGTTGTGCTGCAAATTTAAGGCACTTTTTATTAACCCACCGCTTGAAGAATACTTCCGATAAAACACACTGTTTAGCTTATTGTGAGAAGCAAAGCTTACCTTTCCGGTGTCTTGAATAATTGCAGAAATAAGACAAACGGCTCGTGAATTATTCATGTTTGAATGTCACACCGCTTCAGCTAATAATGTTCTTCTTCAAACTTTTTCACTTTTCCCTTGAAGTCAGCAAAAAAATGTACTACTCCTTTCACTGACTAGCTAGCGAGATGCTAAGAAATTCGGAAATGGTAAATAATTTACCTATTTCGTGTTGTACGAAACACGAGTTTCCCGGCACTTCCTCCCCAAAGTTGAACAACAAAACTTGAAATTCGCGCCACGTTGTCGCTCGTCTCACGTGATTTCATAGCTTTCTGAGATTGGCTAACAGCTCTGCACACGTTTCCTGCAAACTTTACAGCTGAACAATTTTTCTCATTTAGAAAATCAATATTTCAACACGTTCGCTGATTTCGCAAGCGTCTAATTTATCCGTATCGTAAGGATTTAGGATTTATTTGTGTTTTTGTTTTATGAAACAAGTAAATCATATTAAAGAGCGATTCAGGAAAACAAGCAACACAGTTTACTCTTGGGTCACTTGACATGACCTGATCAAAGGGTAAATTCTTCCAGGCTGTGTGTGACTTTGTTTCCTTATAAGGATTTGAATCCCACTGGGGTAAGTTATGAAAAGTATAAACAAGTGACTGACACGTTTTTGAAAATGTGTCGTTGTTGGCAACGTCTTATACGATGTTGGTAACTTCTTAAACGATTTGGAAGTGAAATAATTCTGGTAGGAAGAGCTCAAGAAGAGCAAGACAGTAAAAAATTATATCTTTAGTTATTGTAAGCGATGTTCGATTCTATTAATCGGTTACTTGATTAACTTGAACTTTGAATCAAATAGCACTGAATCAATTCGATACTGAAAGAATGATTTATCATTATTTTAGTTTGGTTTTATTTATCTATCCGTTTATTAATTAATTAATTTATTTATTTATTTGCTTATTTATTTTATTTGCTCAAGGTAGTTGTACTGGTGTTAAAATATGATCAAAAGCAAATTTACATGGGCGAATGAACAATCTTCTCCTGAATTTCCGGAAGAGAGCTAGGTATACCCAAATTAATTTTCTAATTTTTCTTCCTGAATATTTCCGTTTCATTTGACTATTCTCCCAGGAATTCCGAAATTTTCGGTAGAAAAATTTGCAATTCGGAAACTCAACAATTTCGCTTTTTTCGGAAATTTCCTTTGGTAATTCCCTTACCATAATCTCAATCGACTTGTATGTTACACTATATGTGTATTATATACCAGATCACTCCATTTCATTTTTATCGCTGATCCAAATGTTCGATTGCTCAGAGGTTGTCAAGGAACACGAAAACACGAGAGGACACACGAGAGGACACACGAAACCTCAAAACAACGAGAGCAGTTATAAACGGCGGGAGCAGTTAGAAGATGGACAAATACTCCAGTATGGTGCAAAAGCTATTATCGCTGAGTATCAAGTTAGTAGCGGTGGACTTTGATCAAACGATTATCAATATTCACACGCGAGGCAATTGGCAGTTCACAAGCAAAAGCTTGGTTTCTCGTGTGCGACCATCTTTCAAGCAGTTCTTCATGGCAATGTTGAATAGTAGTGATCTACACGTTGCTGTTGTGACTCATTCACCGCAAATTCCTCTTATTCGTGAAGTTTTAGAGCAGGCTTTGCCTGATTGTGACACTAGTCGAATTCATTATAGAGGGACAGATGGGAAGTGGAAAGAAGTGAAAGGAGTCACCAAGGAAGGTACATTTGTTAAGCTTAAATCTATGTGCTTTTATTTTTTGTATGTAAGTATAAGCTCTACTGCCGCTGAAGCAATGTTTTTTTCAAACACACGGTATAGGGAAGATATTTGTGTACAACATTGTTTTTGTTTCACCAGCCAGTAATTCTCTGGTTGACATAGTAATAACAATAGGTGACGTCATTGATATCTTTGCTGTAAGCGGGTAATTTTTTTTGCGCATGCTTATGCACCTACAATAACATGTATACATAAATGTTAAACCAGAGGGGGTTGGGAGGCTGGGCATAGGCATGGTCTTTGAATCTATTGTAGCTGTAATTTTCTGTTGAAATAGCCTGAATTGTGGGGTATTTGCCAATGGCTCACAGAAGGCAAGAGCTTAAGGTGACATACTCAGTTATGAATTAATGGTCTTACAGCTACTTGTGTTTTGTAAACCTTTTCACACAGGAAAACAACAGCATATTGAATCCGTGCGCAATCAAATTGAGAAAGACCACAAGGTAAAGATTAAAAAAAAAGAGGTTATTCTCTTGGATGATGATGAAGAAAACATTTCAGTGGCTCAGAGCTGTAAAATGAAAGCACTTCTTATCAAGGGAGATGATAGTCTTGATGAGCTACTAGAACAGAGGTAGATACGTATTTATTCTTGCTTTGGAATATGTGTATAATGAAGGAACACACTGGTCAAACATTATACATTTTTGAGTAAAATATTGTTTCCCGACTCTGTAGTAGACATAATACTTAAGAAACAAGATATGAAAACAGAGTCAATGTTTTATCAATTACAAGCTTTCGACACTGTCACAGCATCTTTCTCAAATGAATGTGGCAGAAATCTATTAGTCACGTGAGCTTGAGTGAACCAAGTCACGTGCCAAAACATCCCTATTGGAAGAGAGTAAGGCGACTGTCATAGCTAGAGAAGAAAACAACTTCAGAAGGAGAATTTGCGAAGCCTTGGAAATTCTGTGCAAGTTCCTGGTGCTCAATTGAGACTGTGGATTTGAACTTCTGGTCCTACAGTATACAGGGATGTTTTGGCACATGCCTCCACCCAAGGTCATGTGACAAATAGATCCCCACTGCATTCACTTGAGAAAGACGCTGTGACAGTGTTAAAGCTTGTGATATTGTTTATTCATTTTGTTTCCTGTACGTTCACTGTAGTGGTCATGTGCCTGTACATGTAGACCTGTGAACTCAATGGGGATGTAATCTATTTTTAACTATTTAAAATCTGCTACTTAGGTGTTACCGGTAAGTGTTTAAACTTCTCTCTTCACTTTGACCTGAGTGGTGATATCGCATTTCATTTAATATTATGGTTTCACATGCCCTGTACAAAATTGCTGATAGAGTTAATAAATATAAAACAACAGGGGTTTTTCATTACAAAACCACATTACTGTTTATTGATAGCTCTTGGAGTATTTTGCACTGCAATTCTACTTGGGGGTGTTGTAAATCACTGAAAGAAATGTGATTATAAACTTTAAATAGTATTGTAATATGTCCAAACTGCATATTGTCTGTAGTCTCTGCAACATACATGTTTCTGTACAATTGCTTATTTTTGTTATGGGGTTATATTAATGTGCGACCAAAAATAGAAAAACAGTGTAAATAAACAACGAAGATTAACTTAAGTATATAATGACAGTAATATATTTTTTTACTTCTATACATAACATGATTCATTCATGCATCATTCATACCAATATTGGCCCAAGGTGGTGGCAGTACATCAGACTTTGCTGCACTCAGTCAGTACAAAAACAACCTAGGGCCAATATTCCCCAGTATGGCTCAAGTAAGCTAGGTTAGTAAGTAGTTTATAATATGGCACTCGGGCCATGCTTGTTTCAGTGTCTACGTCAGAAGTTTCCAGATCTTTAGGATATTAAAATTTGCTCTCGGTGAATATTCGTCCTATTCATCCATGTTGTAAGCGCTGTAAAATATCAATCTTCTAGACCGTTGTCTCATTTCCTAGAATGAGAGTATTTACATGTTTTCATTTTGAAGTTCTAGTTGCAAATTTTGAATTTGCTGGCTTTCCAAAACAAGAAAAACATGGCTTTATTATGACCACGGAAACGGTCCATTAATGGCAAAATCCTGACCAAGAAAGATCCAATCAAAAAGTTCAGATTTACAGCAAGATTACCCTTCTATGTAACAATTTAAGTTTTTATTAAATTATTAGTATTGTCTAATGTAATTGACTTGTTCATTTCAGTCTATAATGCATATAGTACTTAAATCATACACACAACATATAGATACACTGTGCCAGTAATATGCACATTTTATGTATGCCATATTCTTCTCAAACTCATGAATAATAATCATCGAGTTCATGACCGTGACAGTGCTTGGACATCCGATCTTAATTAGCATGAATTTTTACAATTTTATTTCTCTGTTTTCTCCTTAATTTTAGTTTCGATTGAGAAGATATATCAAACACTCAAGACAGTGTTTGATCACATTTCCAAACACCTTGAAGTTCTTCAAAAATACTCTGCTACACATCGTATTTTCAACTCTCCCTAGTGTTTGGAAATGTGGTCAAACACGGTCTTTCGTGTTTGACATATTACATAAGAACATTGCTTTTATAAATATTTATATGCATGGTACAGTGCTAAAAAACTTGATATGTTGTCATATATGTTTCTTGGTGTGGGTGTGTAGCTTCCCTCAGAGCCATTATTTGGCTTGTCATGCAATGCTTGGCAAGAACCATAGTGTGACAGCCAAAATAACAACTGTCAAGGAGACTAATCATGTAGTGGGTGTGTGTTATGATTCAATCTGGAAGGGATTAGGTCACGCCAAGAAATTGTAGAAAAGCGCAAATGAAATGCTAGAATGGAAAAAAGAAGTGGAGATGTTGCTTAAATCTGGACTTGAGGGATTTTAACAGATTTAAATCATCGAATCACTTTATTTCTGCCAAGGTGACCCACAGAAGGTGATCTGTAATACTCAGATGTACAAAGTACATGTAATTCATTGCTTACTAGCAGGTAATGTTTGTGGTATTTAAAAGGATACTAGGTAACCAATTATTGTCACAACTAGCGTAACTTGGTTCCTTTGTACTATACTAGAGCTAGTATACTGTGTCTCTCGTAATTTGCTGAATGAGACTATCTTAATTTAGGTTCTGGACATCATCACTTTGAATGACGGCTGCAACGCTCTCTCGTTTGCAAGAACATATTTCCTGGTACTACTCAAGTTTACAAGGAAAATACCTATAAGGCTTGATTGTATGTTGTCACATGTGTAGTTTGACAACACTCAATATAATTTATCAGAAACAGCTATTATGAATTAATTCCTCCGTATTCCTGCGTATTCCTAGATGTATTTATTTTGTACTTACCTACAAGTGTATTTAGAAAGTGATTCAAGAATTGTTTTGGTGGTAACTGATTTGTAATAAATGGCTGTTTTCTGACTTCTAGACTCTCTTGCTGCCTTTTCAGTACTATTAGGTACGTACAAACATGAATAGCCTCCATTTGCCGCGAAAATATGCTCGGATATTTGTCTGCGGGCATTATCTGTTCCCAGGAGCGAATAGTTTTCTGAGAGCGTAGCTCGAGGAAAACTGTGAACTTTGAGGAACAGGTAACGTTCAAGGACAAATATCCGAGCATCTTTTCGTGCCAAATGGAGCCTATTGTGTTTATTATCCTTCAAATATTTTTCGCAACATGTACGGTTTGAAAATTGAGGATTCCCCAGTTTTGGCTTGGGAATATTCAGTCACGTGACGTGTTTAGACCAATCGAGCGCGAGCGAAAATTGTTGATAGATTATAAGCCCAGGTATTTCACGCGGACATTATCTGTTCTGAGAAGCGAATAGTTGTCCGGGAGCGTAGTTCGAGGAAACCTGTTAGCTTCTCGGGACAGATAAGGTCCAAGGACGTGCATATTTTCGTACCAAATGGCGGCTGTTGTGTGTATTATCCTTTAAATATTTTTTTTACCACAACTGCTACTAATCTCGCAATCTGATTGGCTAATTTGCCGTTGTCGATAAGAGTCCAGACAACGCTGCTCGCGTCAATGTGTCACGCAATGCCTTTTTCAGCTCGCACTCTGAAAAGAACATGCTGCGCCTCGTGAGTCAACATTTTGACCACCGTGATGACGCGTATCGTTTTCGATAAGACTACAGACCACGCTAAACCACGTTCGCTTTGTTAATTGCATCACGCGCAGTTTTAAAAATTGTGGAATATCACTCGGATATTCCCCAGTTTTAGCTGGGGTATATTCAGTCATACGACGCGTTTAGACCAATCGTTAGCGAGCGAAAATATTTGATGGATTATATGTATATATCGTGTACTGTCATAAAGTCTGAAGTCCTCAAGTCGCCTCATGCTACAGTAGCCGGAGATAGGCGACGGCTATACTGACTACTGGCCTGAGGCAACCTTTTACTTCGAGTTACACAGCACGATTAAAAACTAAATCCCGCAACCAACGGACCGTCAAACAGCTGCACTTTGAACAAAACTTTAACAAGTAATTTTCGCAATTTGTTTCCTTTTAAAGTAATTGCCACAGGCCTCGTGGGGTATTGCAATGCAATGTAATAAAGGGCAAATGAAAAGCTTCACTGAAATCGGAATTAAATTGTTATTCATGTGAATATATGAAAGATCACATATTTATTGTTTCAACACCGCGCTCATATAAACTAGCGCCGCTGGATTCGTCACCGTAATGTTGTGCCAAATTTGTAAAGAAACAAATTTATCGTATTGTGGCTGAGTTTCAATTAGTTCAATAAGTCTAGATAATCGTATGAATCAAGTAATAATTGAAAATCTCTCAAATTTGCATGAGCCTTATTATCTGACTGAGAAAATTACGAGCGCGTGTATTTATTTGACTTGCAGTGCAAATCATAATTTGACCATAAAATTGCATGACCAGCTCCGAGCCAATCACAATAAAGCAATTTTCTCAATTATAAAGTTGATAAGCCCATAACAATTTCCTGAACTATTTGTGGTCTCAGTTGTCGGATGAGTACTCTGTATTGTGACTATCTATATCCCTCCTAACTTTTGAAGTCCGGTCGTCGCTACCAACAAACTCAGATACGCTTTTAAAAGTTAACAGCCAAGCTAAGATCAGTGATCAGTCCTTATTTTTACCTTCAGACTGCTGATCAAACGAAGCTAAATCCTATTTGGCAAAGGTATGTACAGTAATCATATCAAAATGTTTTGCAGCATAATTTAATTGTGACCGGCTGTCAGTGTCTCTGCTTCAAATAGAACGCACTATTCATCCGGGTTTAGAAATCAGAAAAATAGTACTAGCAGGAATTTCAATCACCAATTACTATCGAAAGATCAGCAAATCCTATAGGGTTTCGGTATCGAGAGGGTGGTTTGTTCTTGGTCGGGCCGGACACTGTCTGATTAAATATTAGGGTGGACGGGAAAAGAATGTATCTGTGAAAGAAAAGCATCCCTATCGTAAGGGATGGCTGTTTTCAAATGTTATTCAGGTAGTGAGATTTGTTGACCTCTTTTTTTTAAACAGATGAGTCGAACCTTTCTATCAAGCATTGCTGTGTTAATACTGGTCATCTTGGCGGAGAAGGAAATTGGAGAAAGCAAAGAAGTTTGTACAGATGCCAGATGCACCTGCTCTCGTGACAACGAAAACGTCACAGCAGTTTGCAGAATGAGTCACTTGAGGAATATATCACAGTCTTTTAACTCTCCTCAGGATGTAGCCTCTTTGTAAGTCTAGAAACTTCTACGGAAATCTGATTATCACACACAACTCTCACACATATCGTCAATAAGGTAAATAACAATAATAAAGACTGACATACACCTCTCTAATAAGTAAAGCAAGATAGTGAACTTTGCCTGTAGTTTTGATTCCATATGTAACTAACACCACGGGAGTACAACATGTGAGTACAAGCTCAATAATATCAGACTACAGACCAAGAAATTCACATTTAGCACTCACTTCATCATATTATGTAGACCAGCTCCAGGCTCTTTGTCAGTGGGGCCATGGGACGATCGAAAAAGCGGGCGGGTTGGCGAACCCCGTCCCGTGGCCCGCTCGCTTTTTCAATCTCCTCCACTGACCGAGAGCCTGGAACAAGCTAGTACACTATAATGTAGTCAACTAAGTTTTTTCCCCGTAAACACTTTTTTTAACTTGACCTTTGTTCTGCAGGAATCTATCAAACAATGAAATAACAGTGATGCAACAATACACATTTCAAAATTTCTCAGGACTCATCAAACTGTAAGTAAATTTGTGACTTGAAGTTCAATGGGATTTCATTCGTCATTAACAAAGGCAACTGCGCACATTATAGATTTTTGCAATTTCTTAAATGTACCTGGAATATAGATATGGTACTTTAATCTATTAGAAAATATATTCAAAGTCAGGAATTGAAGTAATAGATATGTTTTTATTTGTTCCTGTCATGCACACTTTCAGAGAAATTTCTCAGAATCTGTTAGAAAAACTACCACCGAACAGTTTTACGGGCCTCAAGAATCTACTTAAACTGTGAGTTTACATTTTTGATGCTTGCTCAAGTATTTTACGATGTTTTGGAAAGGTAACTTGTTTTCTTTTAAACCTCAAATATGAACGTCAAAATTCGTATTTTGCGACTGGGTATGCTTCTCATTCTTTTCGATCGATCTGCGTGTGCAAAATGTTAACATACAATTCTATGATTCTGTTTAAAGGTCTCTGACGTATAACAACATTCAGTTTATTCTCAAAGACGCTTTCAATGGCCTGTATTCCCTGCAAATATTGTAAGTAAAACAAGGTGTCTGTGTTTCTTATGGAAAATCCATCCTTTGTCCACAGTGAAGATATTTGAACCATGAACAATTGAGATTTTTTGTACATTGTTTTGGTGACTAGAATGAAGGCTCTTCGTATAATGTACAAGATTAGTGTTTTTGCTTTATTTAAACTTGATAAATTATTAATGAGCCAGTTTGAAAATTGAATTTATGTCTTGGCAGGGACCTGACAGGAAACTATCTCCAAACATGGAATGCCCGAGGTGCCTCAATGTACCTTCGATCTTTGATCATCATTGATGTACAAGGAAACATGGGATGGAAGCCAGAAGAAAACCAACTTTTCGAATTACCAAGATTAAAGGAAATTAGGAATGTGTCCTGGGCCGCTGAATGCGCGGACTGCTGGCTCATCAAAAAAGTTAGCGAGGACGCTCTCGAAATCTACAACAAGTCATATTTCACATCAACAAGTGCAAAACAATGCATCATACATCATTACACGTTTAGTGATTATCTTACAATGCTCGCACGGCACCGTTTTGTAGTCAAAGAATGCAGGAATGTAACGGATTGCATTTTACGAAAGGAAGCCAATGTTACTAATACTTACCTTTGTTGGCGTTTAAACCAACGCGTCGTCTCAGGTCAGCTGTTATTAGGGACACTCGGAGCTGTTCTGAACATGGTGGTGTTTTTTAACATTCTGTTGACTAGATCCTTACGAAAGAATGTGTCCATGGTATTCTTGTGTAATTTAGCCCTGGGAGACACATTGATTTGCGTGTTTTTAGTTCTAATGGCATCAATGATAGTGAGCTATCGATACCAAGACTTTGAGAACATTTTGGAAAGTCTTTGCCCCAGAGTTGGATTTCTCTGGGTACTCGGGCAATGCGCGACCTCCATTACCTCTGTCGCACTCACTGTGGAGCGATACCTTTGCATAGTTTTCAGCATGAAGCCTGACATTCGAGTAACACCGAGGTTAGCTTCCCTGGCGGTTGCTGTTAATTGGGTCTTTGCTGCATTGTTTATGTCTGTCGCCCTTTACTTCAACATATACCGGCTCAACTACCTTTGTATACCAATGATCTACGACATGAGGTTTCCCATTGCAACCCATTACAGTATTGCTCTGGGCTCTATCGCACTAACTCTTTACCTGGTTACCATTCCCTTGTATGTTCACATTTACAAGGTTGTCAAACAATCCAGTGAGCAAATGGGAATCCAGCGAGAGTCTACTCTAGCCAAGCGAATCGCAATCTTAGTAGGGACTAACTTAGTGTTCTTTTTCTTACCTATTCTATCGCTGGGGGCATGGAAGTTGCTCGTGAATTCTAGCCATCAAATGCAGCAGTCCATTTATTTCAGGAGAGCAATAAGCGATTGGATTCCTCAGTATTGTTTAACCATTAATTCCTGTTTGAATCCTTTGGTGCACGCCTTTAGAAATGATAAGTTCAAAAATGCTTTAAAACAGAAGCTGCCATTGAGATGCAACACTAGTAAAGTGACGCCTGCCACTCAGAAAAACAGTGATTCTATCCCCACCTATAAATTACAAAAAAGGCATTCAGCTGGAGGTAGTTCGACATGAATTGCTGTCTCAGATTGCCCCTACAACATTTTTCTCCGTGGAAACTTCATTCGGACAGCTAACTAAATCATAAGGGAAGTCGAAGAAAGAAGTTGTTGGTGTCATAGATGATTTGTTCCTTCTTCCTTTTCCGTGACTCCTACGCGCCTCAGCCCACCTCGTGTCCACTGAATCGGATTCTCTCTCTAAAAAAACTCACTATCACAGTAGCGATAGGGTACAAGTCTGTTCCATTTCTATGTATCAGTGGATCCCAATGTGATTGTATCCCACATTGCTTTTCAACATAAACAGCATAAACAAGTTTGGAAATGAACTCCAGTCTCCTATCTTGATCGTCTTTAATTTGATTACGGTTTATGCGTTTGAGTACGATAACAAATGGTTGTTTATATACAAGTCTTATACAACTTTCTTTCAAAATCTCTTGGAGTTCTCAGTTAACCCATGCCACTCGATTTCTTGGCAATCATAAGTATCAGGTTATCCAGTAAATGGCCTGTACGTTCCCTAAATTTAAAACTATTTTATCAATACCGATTTATGATTACTCTTGACGAGTTACTGTCAGTGAGACAGTAAGCTCAACATATGTAGACTATAAAATTTTAGTCATTGATTGCTTGTGACTAACTGCATAAGTTACTTGCAGTAACAAAACTTTACAATCAAGTAAGAATAATACATTAAACTTGAATTTTTTAAGTCGAGCTAACACTGAGTTCGCATAAGCTGTGACCTCTTCTACAAAAACAGAACTGTCTCTTACGTCTGCATCTAGCGCTCTATTTGACTTTCATACGTTTTTTCATCAGTCGTGCAAGTTACTCAACGACTTGCCCTGGTTTTTCAAGTTGTTAATACCTGAATATTTGTAAGAAAGACCTGCCATTGTCTATTTAAGTCATTTATCTGGTTATTCATTATGTTACTCAAGAATAAAGCTTTCTATTTCCAAATTCATCAGTCTTAACAATAATTGCTACAGTGCGCATACAATCACTGACTCAAGTGGGATTTTAACTCGTGAACTTACTCTGAGTAAAGTCACAAACAAGTAGCTACAACCATGAGTCCTGATTGTTAGTATTGCTGTTTTCAGAATCAGCTTCATCGTAGCAAGCATCGCTCGCAGCAAGCTTATTGAAATCATAATATGGAGTGTCCTTTGCCATCATTTCTTCCAGTATTAAAATGAGTTTTTCGAATGTCGGTCGCTTATCAGGATCCTCCTTCCAACAGTCCAACATTATCTCGTATCTGATGAGAAATGATTTATTTTAGAACATTAAAAAAGCTCTGTTAATTAGTTTTACTTCCATAAGTATGCTTGATCAAGTTTAGCGTGTGTACATTTTAAACTTCCTGTATATTGCAATATTTCAGATTTACTTTTTATTTATTATTTCCTTAACAACGGACCTCCCTAAAACCAAGTGGCTCTGTGACGGGTGCTCCCTCTTATAAAGATTTATTATTTTGTTATTATTACTTGTACGTTTTCTCCTTTTGATCTCGAAGTACTTAAAACTAAAATCAAACAGTGTTTTGGCTTTTTTTTTTTTCGGTTTCCGTTGTATTCTGTCATATCAAGAAGACGATCGCGACTTGTCGAGCAATCCAATTGGTCTGTACCACTTTAATTCGTCCATGTTAATCTGTACCTCTTTTGTTCTTAGGGCTGAGGCATTGTTTGTGTTCTTTATCTACTGTTTCGTTTATCCAATCATGAAGAACCTTGCAAACGGTGCTGGTTAATCGGGCATATTTCAGTAAACCACTTGAGCTGTACGAACCACCTTAAACATAACTATCTTCGTTTACTCTTGTTGGAGCTAACCAGATGAAGAAACAATGTTCGTGATTTGATCCCAGCAACATAAATTACAGTGAACGAATCCTTCGGCTGTGTTTTATTTCGACAAAAACAAAGTATACTGAGCGATTTACTTACATCTCATCTGAACACATGTCTGGTTTATCCATGCGATATCCTGTCTTAAGAAGTCTGTACAGTTGCTTGTTGCTTACCCCAGGATATGGAATATCGCCTAGAACAACAGATATAGTTCATGAATTGTAACAACATAATCCATCTCCCCCTCCTCAGTTAAAGATGGCAAACTTCGTTTCCAGAACTCTTTTTTTTCCTTTCCCTTTCACGCCTAAGCATGGAAAGAATCCGTCGGAAGGGGTTTGAGAGTCGTGTAGGTATGTGGACAAAGAAACACGGGTCTTCTGTACTACATAGTTGATCCCTTTGCTTACTGTACAGTCGGACATCAGTTACTGATTATCATGGTCAGACAATCCATGTGAACGGTAATCCAGGAACACATGATATGAGTTTCTGTGGTCCTACTCTCTCTTCCCCCTCTCCCCACCTCATAAGAAGGCCCTCCTCCCTCCTTCCCTCTCACCCCCCCTTAGGAAGACCTGATACTCAAGCTAGAATTGTCTTTGATTTTGACCACTCTACATAAATCATTTTCAGTTCATTTTCAAAGACATTCATCAAAATCATGCTAGCTCGGCCTCAATCTTACCCATTGTGGCCAGTTCCCACAGGAGTACTCCGAAAGACCATCTAGAATAAACAGACATTATTTTATCATCAATGCTTTACATTCGTCGTTTTTATGAGTTAATAGTTTAGCCTGGGATGGCTTAGGAGAGTGCTACAATAACTTTTCCTTGATACACTTTCTTCTTGTCCTGAATAGAAAACCAACAGATAATAATATGATACAGGATTATCAAATCTCCTAAACATTTGCAGTAAAACCTAGGTAGAAACAAACCTTTGAAAAGCTAAAACGTTCCGGCGAACAGTTATATAAAGCTGAGGACAAGTTATTTGATGTTAATTTAGCTACTTTTATTTTATCATTATTTTTTTTTCATGTGTACTACCAGTAAATTAGCTGGTTAGTAAGTCTGAACTGTGGCGGCTCACTCATAGCTAATTAAGGTTCATTGACACCATAAGCCTGTCTCCTATTTATGGAAAGATTTGAGGAGGTTTATATACTTTACATACGTACACGTCACTTTTTGAAGTGTATAAACCGTTGCTAAGCGCCTCAGGTGCTGTCCATTTGATTGGCAGTTTTTTCGTGTACTTTATCTTGTATATTTCATCATGAGTGTGGCGTAGCAGACCAAAATCAGCGATCTTCACCGCTCTGCCCTCACCAAGAAGAACATTACGAGCTGCCAGATCACGATGAACAAATCCTTTACTGGACAAGTATTCCTATGATAAATACAAAGCAAAGAGAAATTGAAGGACATTTAAGCAAGGGAGTTAGTAGAACCTTTCATTTGTAACATAGAAAAATGGGGCATCTCCAACAACACCCAATTATGATCCGAACCACATACATACCTGCTGCAGTGGTCACATCTAGTAATTAAAGAGAGCATGACCCGGCTACAAGTTGACGGTTAGTCGCGCACCCTAAGATGTTTCCTAAGAAAGGTCCCACTGTATCAACCAGTAGATGTCTCTTAGAAAGAAACATTTTGTTTTAGATTTTCAGGTGAATTCCGGTTTCTACTTACCATTCCTTGAGCTATCTGCCACGCCAAGCAAAGAAGGTCCTTTGCAGAAAGGTCATCTTCATCGTTATTGTTATTCTGGGACGGGATGTTAATCTTCATGCGTGCATTTTCCACGTTGCATGAACTCGCACATTTACTATTGTTCTCTTCCATCTTTTCGTTAGCCTCTGATGGAGGGGCTTCCTCTCTTTGCGTGACATGATCATGTTCGGTCATGGGCAGCGCCTGTGATGGCACACTTTGGAAGCTTTCATCGACCACTTTTGTCAATCCTTGATAAGTTCCTTCAAAAGTCGACGGTTTTGTTTGGTACTGGACGTGTTCCTGAGATGAAATAAGCTGGTATGAAAACATGAAAAGGACACTTCCGTTCGTTTTCTGCTAAGTATAAGTTTAAAACAAGATTAGCTACTTGCACTACTGTTCAATTCAATTCGCTTGTAGTCTAATCTGGTATTGGAGGCGCGGTGGCCTCATGGGTTAGAGCCCTGACCGGGGACATT